ATTGCAAAATCAATAAAGGGGGGGGGGGGAGTGCCAAACAATACATTACCAAAATGGAAGATGAGGTTGAAGCACCTTAATGGTTAGTCTTAATTGACCAGACTTAATTGACAAGATGGTTTTAAAAAACTGTAAGAGAAACAAGACCAATATGAATGGAGGTTGTATATAACAAGAAAGACTAAATAATGAATAAAAAAGACATATGGCAAGAAAAAGTATTACACGGCCAATACATTTAAAAACAAACAGACCAAGCAGATAATAAGACCTGCCAATGGCTAAGAGTAGGAAAATTAAAGAAGGAGACAGAAGGCTGGTTCTAGCTTCACAAGATCTAGGTTTTAGAACAAAAGCATTCACAAATGGCAGAACTGAGAAGACAGCAATAGACAGCAAATGTTGCTTCTGTAAGGAAGCTGAAAAAAATGACCACCTAGCTAGCTGCTATAAAAATATCAGACTGATGACAAACAAGTAGAAATAATGGTGCACTGGAATATTTATAAGAAATGCTACTTACTTACACACACAAAAACTGTTGGGACCACAACATAAACAAAGTAATAGAAAGTGAAGAAGATAATGTATTCTGGGAATTCAAACAGACAAGCACCTGCCACATAAAATTCCAGTTTAAGCAAATGATATAAAAAAAGACAAAAGAGGATGGTTGATGTGGCAGTACCTGAGGAAAGCAGAATAGAAAACAAAGAACTGGAGAAAACCACAAGATTCAAAGACGTGCAAATGTAACTACACCTGTGACAGAAGAAAGCAAAAACAGTATCAATAACAACAGGCTCTTGTTTTGGATGCAATGCCAAAACAACTGGAGTTCTACTTGAACCATTAGTCAATTGCAAAAGGCATCCTGATATAACTTTAATACCATCAGACAGTAACACTTGCTATCCCAAGTCCTTGAGAAGGACTCGGTTGGTGGATAAAAATGCCAAATCCAATCTAACCATGTGGCTGACTGTGGATGAACCATAATATATTGAAAAAGTATGCAGTTCAACTTCTTGTGACTCCTTACTTGACAAGATTCCCCAATCTGTCATCCTCCAACTATATCTCCTACAATCCTCAATAACATCTAAAATTGAACCGTTCAAAATATTAGGAGAATTGACAGAATATCATTTCATTTAATGAAGTACTTGCAAAATTTGGGCAAAAATAATAATTGAAAAATAGACTAATGGAAGTCAAGATGATTATTGGTAAGAATCTAAATAGCAGCTTGAAAGCTGCTCAAAGAAACAGTCACAGGCAATTTCTGAAAAAGCTTCTTGAATGAGAAGCAAAATGTCTTCAAAGAAAAACAAAGAAAAATAACAGATAACAGATAATCAGAGCTGGAAGGTACCTTGTAGATCATCTAGTCCAACCCCTCGCCCAAGCGGGAGACCCTACACCATTTCTGACAAATGGCAGTCCAATCTCTTCTTGAAAGTCTCAAGTGATGGCACTCCCACAACTTCCCACGGCAAGCTGTTCCATTGGTTGATTGTTCTCACTGTCAGAAAGTTTCCCCTTATTTCCAGGTTAAATCTCTCCTTGTTTAGTTTCCATCCATTATTCCTTGTCTGGCCTACAGGCGCTTTAGAAAATAGCTTGACCCCTCCCTCCCTGTGGCAGCCCCTCAGATATTGGAAGACCACTATCATGTCTACCCTGGTCCTTCTCTTTACTAGACTAGCCAAGCCCAGGTTCCTGCAACCGTTTGTTGTATATCTTAGCCTCTAGTCCCCTAATCATCCTGGTTGCTCTTCTCTGTACTTGAGTCTCGACATATTTTTAATAATGTGAACAAAACTGGATGCAGTACTTTAGGTGTGGTCTTACTAAGGCTTTATAGAGTGGTATTAGTACTTCCCTTGATCTTGATTGTATCCCTCTGTTAATACAACTTAGGATTGCATTAGCTTTTTTGGCTGCTGCTGCACACTGCTGGCTCATATTTAGCTGATTGTCCACTAAGACTCCAAGATTCCTCTCACAGTTACTGCTATTGAGCCTGGTTTCACCCAGTCTATATGTGTACTTCTGGTTTTTCTTGCCTAAGTGTAGGACTTTACTTTTCTCTACATTGAATTTCATTTTGTTAGATATGGCCCAGTGTTCTAGTCTGTCAAGATCCATCTGGATCTTGAGCCGATCTTTTTGGGTGTTAGCTGTTCCTGCCAGCTTAGTATCATCTGCAAATTTGGTAAGTTCCCCTTCTATTCCCTCATCTAAATTGTTAATGAAGATATTGAAGAGTACTGGGCCTAAGACAGAACCTTGTGGCACCCCACTGCTTACTTCCCTCCATGTAGACTTAGACCCATTAAGGACTACTCGTTGAGTATGGTTTGCCAGCCAGTTGCAAGTCCATCTAGTGGTGGTGCTATCTATCTTTAATGGTTAGATATCTATCTTTTTTCTATCTTACTAAGAAGTAGGTTGTGGTCTACTTTGTCGAATGCCTTGCTGAAATAATATATTATGTCCACAGTATTTTGCTGGTCTACTAATTTAGTCACTGTGTTAAAGAATGATATAAGATTGGTTTGGCATGATCTGTTTTTAACAAACCCGTGCTGACTGCTAGTTATTACTTTACTTGTTTCTAGATGTTGGCAGATCTGTTTTTTATTGTCTTTTCCAGTATCTTCCCGGGTATTGATGTTAGGCTGATTGGTCTATAGTTTCCTGGGTCTGTCTTTTTTTCCCCTTTTCTGAAGATGGGAACCACATCAGCTCTTTTCCAGTCTTCTGGTAGTTCCCCGGTACTCCAGAATTTTTGAAAGATATGGTGCAGTGGTTCTGAGATGACCTCTGCCAGCTCCTTTAAAACTCTGGGATATAATCCATCAGGCCCCGGTGATTTGTTTTCATCAAGATCAGACAGGTGTTCTCTTACTATTTTTTTTGCTTATTTTAACTTTTATTTCTGGTCTGTCTTTTACAGTTATGTTTTTGCTGGGTTGAGCTATAGTTTCTTTTTGCGTGAAGACAGATGCAAAGAATGAGTTTAGCAGTTCTGCTTTCTCTCTGTTGCCTGTTACTTCCTTGCCATCTTCTCTCTTTAGTGGACCGACTGTTTCCTTGATTTTTTTCTTGTTATTTATATGTTGGAAGAAACTTTTTCTATTATCTTTGACTTTTGTTGCAAGTCTTTGTTTGTTCTGAGCCTTTGCTATCCTGACTTCGTCTTCGCAGATTCTGGCTATCTGCTGATATTCTGCCTTAGTTGTATATCCTTCTTTCCATTTTTTGTACTTATCCTTTTTTCTTTCAATTTGCCAGAGAGATCTTTGTGCAGCCATGCTGGTTTCTTCTTGGATTTCTTGTTTTTCCTTCTCAGTGGTATTGTGATGGTCTGGGCTTCTATGATCATACTTTTTAGAGTTTCCCAAGATTCTTGAGTTGTTTTCCCCTTTAGGATTTTCATCCATGGAATCTTTCCCAAGTTCTCTCTGAGTTTATTGAAATCATCTCTTTTAAAATCCAAGACTCTGGTGTCATTATGTTCTGTTGCTTGTGTTTGTGTTAGGTTGAATTCTAGTATGACATGGTCACTCTCACCCAAGATTCCTGCAGTTTCAACTCCCTCTATCACTTCTTCTCTGTTTGTAAAAATTAAGTCCAGTATGGCTGTCCCTCTAGTTTCACTCTCTACCTTTTGGACAACAAAGTTGTCAGCTAGGTTGGTTAGGAACTTATTTGATTTCTCACTTGGTGCAGAATTAGTTTTCCAATTGATATCAGGATAATTGAAGTCTCCCATTACTATTGTTGTGTGTTTCCTGCATATCTTAGTTAGTTGGCTGGCAAAAAAGACATCTATTTTTTTCTGCTTGAATGGGTGGCCTATAATATAAACCTATGGCCATGTCATTCTTTTTTCTTTTATATTGACCTATATGCATTCTAGGTGGTTTTCATCTTTGGTTTCATGCATTTCTACAGCAATATAGTGGTCCTTTACATACAGTGCAACTCCACCTCCTCTTTTATGGGGTCTGTTTTTTTTTTGAACAGTTTGTATCCTTCTACCAGTATATTCCAGTCATGGGTTTCATCCCACCAAGTTTCTGTTATTCCAACTATATCATATTTACCTTCATGTATTCGTAGTTTGAGTTCACCCTGTTTGTTCCCCAGACTTTGTACGTTTGTATATAGGCACTTGAGATCTTTATGTCTGACACTGTGTTTACTGTCTACATTACCTGTGTTGTGCCTGCCTGCCCCTACTTTCTTGCCACCTGTTTGATTAGTGCACATGGTATGGCACTCACTATTAAATGATTGATTTTGATTGGTATCAAGGTTGATAATTTTATCTGCACAAACATCTATTTTGCATGCGCTGGTATGCTTCTTAGTTTTAGGTTGCTGGGGACAGAAATGTTCTGAATCCATTAATTTTCTGTCCCCGCTGTTCATTTTAAATGTTTATCCAGGAAATCTGTGAATTTAATGCCAAGTAACTCAGTCTCTTTCTTTGATGGATGCAAACCATCTCTTTTGTACAGTTTTTCATTGGACCAGTTGCAGACATCATGACTAATAAAACCAAAGCCTTCCAGTTGCCTTTTGAGAAAGCACCTTTGGGACAACCATGACCTCGATGATTCTCCAGAGACAGTCATAGGCAGATAATCTTTATAAAATGATATGAGCGTTGGAAGTGAATTTAAAAGTGACAACCAACTTCCTTAACATATTTTACTATTTGATTATAAGAAGTTTATTTGTAGATATTCAAAAATATACTGAATGTTTCTTTTATATTTTTGAAATAAAATGGGTAAGTATCACAATAATTGTCCATTCCAAGCTGTAGATTCAAAGTTTTTGAATAATTTTCTGATCCATTTAAGTTCAGCAAACATTATGAGAATAAGATACATTTAATAAATATAAATATACTTTATTTTCTCTTTTTTATGAATGTAAATTTAAGAAAAGCTGTCCAGAAAGAAAAGTTGTAGGATTCTCACCTATATGACAAAAAGATCCCATCAGAATCCAAAGTAAGCTGTACTCTTCCATTTTCATTTGACACATCTGAAATGATAAGACATAAGAGTTTTCAGTATGTTACTGCAAGATGCACAAATATGAATGTATAAAAATATTAGACCTTTTGTTGTAGATACAATGTAACTGGAGATACTATACAACTATGCACAATCACACCTTGGGAATATTTGTAAGACCTGTAATTCCTATGCTAAAAATATTTTTAATAGGCACTATACAATAAATAGTTTTCTACAGACTTCTTTACCATTATACATGAGAAGCTTTATTTTTTAACTTCAATAACTGATAATAGCTACCTTGTACTATACTAAAAAGCAAACACAGTATGATATTAGAGAAGTAAAGTTGGAAAAGGAGCCACGTTAATAGCTCTATCAAGAGCTCTGATAAATCAAATTTTATAAATTTCTTCCTCCCTATAAATTCTACTAATGAACATTAATGTTAAAATACGAACAATACAATTTAGTCTCCCGATTGATTATAGTAGCACATTTCTTCTGAAAGACAGTAAAAACTTGATTTCATAGACCTAAGTGATTTCAAATTTAGCAGATTAAATTTGACAAAGTCTTTTATTCAAGATTTCTGGAAAGGTATTTCAAAGATCAGGATGGATGGGTCAAAGGGAAGGTAAGTAGCAGCAAAAGCACAAACACTGATGGAAACATACTGGGGAAACTATTGAGATAATTTAAAATTTAAGAATGTCTTCTGATGCGTTCAGAAAGTCCCCAACTCCAGACTATGTTGTCCCCCAAATTTGATAACTTTCCTTTTATCCCTCATCCAAGGTATTTTTAAAGATTTTGAAGAGCACTGGTCTTAGGATAGAGCCTTAAGGTACCACATAATATACTCCCTTCAATAAATATAAATCCATTAAGGATTACAATTGTTCTGGGTATAGCAATTCAACCAACCACAATTTCATCAGGTAGTGGAAACATTCATCTGAACTTATAAACTGTCAATTTTGTCAAATTCGTTACTGAAATCTAAGTATTCTAAAACCACAACATACTCTTGTATTCTAAAACCACAACATACTCATAATCTAAAGTGATTATTTTAATCACTTTATCCAAAAAAGCACTATGATTTATTTGGCAACAAGTATCTTTAACATACTGGCTTCTAGTAATCACGTTTCTTTCTATGAACTTTCAAACCTACTACTTATGTTTTCAAGGATTTTCTAGGTATTGATATCATATTGTTTGCTCTACAGGTACTTCTAAGCACATTTTCCCTCTTTTTAAAAGGTTGGAACAACAGAAGATCATCAATGTTTATTTTGGGGGGGAAATCAATTCATAGAGCTAATTGATTAGAAATAGTATAGAGCAGATTTAAGATAGAAACTACATTTGCCCATATTATTTTCTATTTAAATATGGGAACACATCAATAAGGGGACAACAAAACTATATTATTTATTAATTGTAGACAACTTTAAAATATAAATTTGTAGTTGAAAAAAATCTTTTTCTCTTTGTAAGTTGCACAAAGGTCTTTATTATTAAAGTTATAAAAGAAAATTAATTTGCTGGTTGGATAATCTAAACATTTTGAATTTCAAATTTCTACTTTTCACAAATCAAGACAAAAGGACAAAAAAATATAACAAGAATATTGCATTCTTTTTTGTAAAAAAATAGTTAATGTTTGATCATTATTAATCACCATGGTTTCTGCTCTGAAGTAACTCAAGAAAAAAAATCATATACCAATATGTATATTTTTAAAAGGGCACAATCTGTGATCTTAGAGAAGAAAAAAAGGGAAAAGGAAAGAAGTTGCTTACATTAGAAAGTTGTGAAATGCAATTGCATATTTTAAAAATACTACATACTTTCATTTTAGCATATCTAAAGCTTAATAATTTAATGATTTATTCAGTTTTAATTTATACCTTCAAAACATTCTGAGATGCCACTGGAGATCATAACAGTGGTCCTGGTTAAGTCAAATAATAATTAGAGCTTTCACTTTAAAGATGAGATTATTTTTAATTATTGAGTGAAGTACTTGAGGTACCATACTTATATAATTACACTACTCATTAAATGGTTATTGAAAGCTGAAATGTAATTTTAATGACAGCTACCTATTTTTCTTTGCACACTTTGTAGATGACAGATCAGTCAAGAATACTGGTTTGCTCAAAATTTCTTGCAGCTGCAGTTGAGCTTTCAGGTGTAAAACAATTAAGCTGTGCTTATTTTAAAACTTTTTTAAAAAGATGCTCTCTCAATTAAACAGTATTTTTATAAATGCAGAAATAGCAAGGAAAGTAAATTGGCACCCAAGAAGAATAAGTGGATATTTTCTTTTCTGTAGTGGCAGCACACACAGTATACAAATATGATGTTAATATATACAATTCTTGAATTTTAGCCCTTGGAAGAAAACTGCTGTGGGAAACGGAGGTCAAAGGGTATGGCAATACTATGTAATACTAATAATTATAAATGCAAAAAGATTCCTGCTGAGCCAGAATTTACTGTAATTTATTTTTATAGAGATTTTTAGCTTTACCACTTAAGAATACTTTCTAATTGATTTGAAGATCAAAATATAATACAATCAAGTCTTCTTTCTTTTTCACTGTGAAACTCAAAAGATAGATTTGTTTCATTAACAATATTAAATACAGTATTTTAAAATTATCTGCATAGGGAAAGGTATTATAATTTAGAAAAAAAGCAATTGTTTTGTTTCTAGTTGAAATCAATTATACCAAATATTTATGAAAACATCTGTTCCGTACAATTATACATTTTTTATTCTAGCACTGATAAGTTCAGTTTTTTTTCTATTTGAAGCATGGCAGTTAAAGAATTAAAAATGTTATGGGAAACATACAACTTGGAAGTTTTATATACCACACATGTGAAATTTCTCTTTCTATAAAACAAATCACATATTATAGAAATTTGTAAAAAAAAAAAACCTGCAATAAGTCTAAACTCACTACTTGATGAACTACAAAAATAGGAATAAAATTAGGTTTTAAGTTAAAAGTTAAACTATTAACTTTTGTATAGTTATATAATAAAGTACACTTTATTATTTGGATGATGAATATTCAGTTGCTGAAAACAGTGTACCTGATTCTGCTTCCACATGACAACAGAGGGTGCTACAGAGTTTGAGATCAATAAGAATCAGCACCATAAGCTTTCCTTTTGGATTTTTTGTATAACACCCTCGCAACTACAGTGTTAAATTCAATTTACACCACCTAAGCTTTAAAAATGATTAAACAGAGCAAGCTTGAAGCAGCATATAGAAACCAAATATAACCTCTTCAGCTAAAGAATTGTATACTGCATTTTGGATAGTTCTAAAATAATTATTAAGCTAAAAAAACTCAGAACACCGTATTTTTGTATTAGATGTAGAACTTCTTCAAATAAAACTGTAAATTATATCAACATTTTAAAAGAGAAAATTATCTATACAATAGTAATTGAAAGCTTTGATTGCTTTAGAAAATTTAAATTTTTTTTCTCCTATTTGGTAGTAATTCCCACTTGTTTAGGATAAAAATCTGAATTGTCATTCTATATGAAGGAATACAAACATTTAAATTCTTGATTGAATAATCAATATTAAATATAAAAGTCTCTCAACTTTATTATTTCCAAAAGAAAGCATAGAAATTTAATCCAAATTAATCTGAAATTCAACTCAATTTAATATAATATTTTTGCCTGTGCCTGTGCAAAAATATTAGGGAACAGCTGCTTCTTGGTCCCCCTTATCAGAAATGTGGCATGATGGGAGCCAATGGCAAGCATTTTTAGTACCTGGTGAAAGCATTTGGCAACTAACAACTTTGCAGTTTAATCATTATACATTTTGTATTTTAATGTTAATTTAATTTTGGATTTATATCTTGCTTTTAACATTTACCTTCTCGAAGCCATGTTCAGCTGATGTCAGGTAATTCAATAACTGTTATAAACGAAGTTGCATATTTACCAACCATTCATTTAGCGATTGTTTGAAGTTGCAATAGTGCTGAACAAGTGTTATTTACCACCGGTCATCAAAATTCTGGCTGCCGCACAACCTCCATGGTCACATGATTGTGATCTGGGCACTTGGCAAGTGGTCACATTTGGCTGCAGTTTCTTCATTCACAATTCGTAATCTTTTGTTGGTTTCCCACAAACAAAATCAATGAGCAAACCAGCAGTGAAGGTTGCAAATAGCTTGGGTAAATATCCCCATAGGTATTTGTTATCCCCATGGCTATTCGAAATTATTCTCATGTGTCTCTACCAGGATGGATTTGATTTAAATCAAGTTGATTTAAATCACAATTTAAATCACTAGTAAAAAAGGCTTGATTTAAATCAGTGGTTCCCAAACTTTTTCAGTCCACCGCCCCCTTGGTGCTACAAACTCATCCTCAATGCCCCCACCCAGGGGTGGGATTCAAATTTCTTAACAACTGATTCTGTGGGTGTGGCTTAGTGGTCATGCGACTGGGTGGGTTTGGCTTGCTGGCTGGGCGTGGCTTGGTGGTCATGTGACCAGGTGGGCGTGGCTTGTCAGTCGTGTGACTAGGTGGGCGCGGCCAGGTGGCCATGAGACTGGCAAAGCAAATACAAGTGGTCCTCGCTTAATGGCCGGTTGTTTAGCAAGTGTTCTAATTTATGACTGACCTCCCCAGAGCTACTTGACCTGTTTTTGGAGTTTTCACACACACACACACACACACACACACACACACACACACACACACCCTTCTAACCCTGCTGGAGCAGGTGGTTGGACTAGATGTCTCATTCATTTTCTCTTCCCTCCCTCCCTCCCTTTCTTTTTTCTTTCTTTCTCTTTCTTTCTTGTCCCTTCCTTCCATCCCCCACTTTCTTTGTCTATCCTTTTTCATTTCTCTTCCTTTCTCTCTCCCTTCTTCTTTCTTTATTTTGTCTCTTCCTTCTCTCTATTTCCCTCTTTCCTTCCTTCCCTCCATATCCCACTTTTTCCTCCCTCCCTCTTTCATT